TCAGACAAAGGAGACTAGAAACACAAATTTCTCTTTTTTTTTGCTTTAGCTCTTTTATGGATAAATATCCCTGAAATGAGAAGAAGAGCAGATGTATTATGAAATTTAGGCAGGATCGCAATGAGTCGGTAATAAAGACGACACACAGATACACACACACTGTTTCTGCTAGAGTAAAATGTGTCGTTTTATTCCACCACAGAGGACAGCAAAGCAAGCAGATCAATTAAGGCACGGTGCTGAATACAAATTATAATGTCCATCTTAACGTGACGCAAAGGATCGGAGAGCCAGTCGACCCCAGCAAGGCAGCAACCCGCGCAGCTAGGCGTTCGTACGCAACCCTAGCAGACTTTGCCAGTGCCAACCGCCACCCGTCCTTTATGCCAAACTTCAAAGGAAAATCTTTCACCCAATCAGGGCGATTGCTCCCTCTGGAGCGCATGATTACAGAAACCAAAATATGTTTCCGGCGTCCCCTGAACCCACCCAGAGCTCGTGGACAACGAAACCAAAAACAAATTACATCAAGGTCAGAGCATGGGACCGAGAGCTCGTGATTACAAAAACAAATGATATCATGCTCTCAGGGAAACAGAAACTTAGATAATAAAAGTGCTTCATTTGTGAAAGCTTGTATAATAAAAGTGACTAAACTTGTATGATTGTCAAAGAACATAAAATATAAAATCCATATATATATCAGCAGAACATTTATTTTTTACATGATCAGCAGATTGTTTCAGATAAATACTTTACTCAATCTTAGTGAATTTAAAGTGACTTTGTAATAATGAAATAATATTTTTTTTCACTTTCATTTTTTTAAGTAAAAAAGTTGTTTTAAAAAAGGTGCTTTAGTTTAATGAAGAATTGGTTTAGCTTTCCTGAAATTCCTTCAGATTTAAAAACAAAAAACATCTCAGACTATTTATTCATTCTTTAGATACTATAATAAGACATGAAAGATTAAAAAGCTGAAAATATGAAACACTGTGCAGTAACTGGTGAAGGAGACGATCCCATTAAAGGCACTGGGACCAGTGACCTTCAGAAGGACCTCCACTGGGTAATGGTCGCTCACATCCAGCGCCTGAATAAAGAACAGAACGATTTAATTTGATGAACAGAGTCTTTTTCTGAGTTCAAATGATACGCTGCAGATAGATCCAGAACAGATAGACCCGGACGGCTCACCTGTTCCTCTGTCAGGCTGTACTCCTGTTGGAAGTTAAAGGGTTTGGCTGAAGAAGGAACAACCGCTTTGTTAAACGTTTCTCCGTGAACAACGATCCTGTTGGAAAATCAGAACATTTATGATCATTAAGGATGAAATATTGATAATTAGGGGAGAACTTGAACTGAAAGCCATTTTCTGCAATGATTGAGCCCAAAAGAAACATTTAAGGAGAATTAATCTAGTTTTTTCTAACCAGAGCTCCTCCTGGAGCAGGTTTAGCTTCCCATGCTTCAGATTCTGAATGCTACTGTTAACCGTCAGCTGTCCCCTCATTCATTAAATGGAAAAATAACCACTAACTGCAGCGCTTCATATACACATCATACTGTTTAAATGAAGCAACACATTCTGCTCATCAGTAGTGATGACAGATTGACCGAATCAGCAGAAACCGTAAGATTTTATTTCTTATTTATGTTTTGCTTTGGTTATGTGAACAGATCAAACCTCCAGATGTTTGAATCAAACTGTCTTTCTTTGCTTTTTGGTCCAACTCTGATTTTTTTATTGACCAATCCTTTAAAACATGCAGTCAGATGATTGAGTTTCAGCTTCTAGGATGTTTGATCGGATGCATCGGCGTAATGAAATAACGAGAAGGCCTGATCTTATTTCCTATTTCACTGTAAATGAGGTGAATTTTATTTCAAACAGACGCATGGCAAACAACCCATAGCGAATCTTCTGTAATGCCCCTGGTTTATCTAGGCCATACAGCTCTATGTTAGCAGCTGACCTGTCATAGGAGCAGGATGTGCTCAGGCGAACGGTGGTGTCACTGTGGTCTGCTATCAGCCAATGGAGGCTGCTGTCCGTCAGCAGGCGGACATGTTTCCTGTTCTTCTTGGGGAGGTAATCGCAGTCGGCATTGAAGTCTCCCAGCAGCATCACGTTCTGATCACACAAACCCCACATTTTATAAAGATCACACAATCCCAATTAGCATTAAAGCTAAACTTCACTCTTTACCTCGATTTTCCAGATCTTTCTTACTTTCTGCAGAACATCATAGAGAGCATCCAGCTCCTTGGTGGCGTTAGACGGAGTGGTGTGTTGAGGGATGAGGGCAAACTCCTTTATATCTGCGATGGAATGAGGAAGAATTCAGAGGAAGAAAAAGGAGGATTTTAATTTGAAGTAATAATTGTTTAGGAAACTCACATGTCTTTGGGGCTCTGAAGCGAACAACAAAAGGTTCTCTGGAGAAGGCGTCTTCATCTCCTGGTAGATCATCTGGGTACTGATACTGATCTCTGACCGTCGCAGTGTTGCTCCTGCACGCATTGGATGAGGAGGAAGAAGGTTTGTAACCACTTTAAATGCTTCGGTGGCTTAATTACGCAGCAGAACGGACCTGTAGATGAACACGTACTGCTCCTGGTAGGACTCTGACCTGCCCAGCCTCTCACTGGCCAACAATGTATACTGGTTCTTGGTGTCAAACCTGAATCACCAGCAGATAAGGGGTTAATAAATCATTAATGTCTGATTGATTAAAGGCTGCACTGCTAGTAAAATTAGACATGATGAGATGTTGCATAATAAGCACACTGAAATTCTAGTCTGCACAATATTTGAACATTTTCCCACCATCGCATTCCTCACCCCGGTGATCAGATTCACCAGATTAACACAGAAACTGACACGGTGTGAGGCAACCACACCAAGATGTAAACATTTAAATTCGAGGCTCTGTTGAAATGAGAGCACCAGGAGGGATGAGGGATTCCCTGGCCCATGATGATGGCTGACCTATGAGCGGATCAGACTCCAGGGAGCGTGTCGCTGTATCTATGTGCTAAACGAGGACCAGCATCAGAGAGAATCATCCACTGTCAGGGACAAAAGGAGGTCAGGGGGGAACAGCCTGATTTTAACGGGAGCTGCTGACAGCAAACAAACAACCATCCACCATTTTAGAAGAAACAGGAACAAGTCAAACAGCATTATGGTGAAGAAAGAAGAGGTGGAGGAGTTTAAACAAACTGGACTGGAGACACAATGAAGGGACAGAGCAGACTGGACTTCTAGAGGAAGCTTAGGTCCTTAAGATGCTACAGATCTTCTATCAGTCTGCTGTGGAGAGTCTGTTCTCTTCCTCCATCATCATCATCATCATCATCAGAAGCTCAACCAACTAATAAAGGCAGGTTCTGTTCTAGGAACTCCTCTAGAACCTCTGGTGATGAAGAAGATGATGGACAACAGTGAGCATCATCTTCATCAGACTGTTAGACACCAACAGAGTGTTCAGTCAGAAGGTGATCCAGATCCAGATCCAGCTGTCAGTGTGTACAGCCACTGGCTGAATAGGATTCAGGTTGTTCCTCATTTAAATGGGAGCCTTATAAAATACGGAGAAGGAACAATTTGTTCCTAGCCTTGTAATCTAGTCCCACCCCCCAGCGGCCAAAATCATTATTGCCTGAGAGTGAAATTACACATTTAATCTCACATTTAGTCTGGTTTATCAGGCTAATTAAAGGAATAGTACACCCAAAACATGATTAGCCTT